GCTACTTCTATAAGGAGCTGGACGCCATCCTTGGCAGCAACCCCACCTCCACCGTCAATAGGTGGATACTTCGGTGGGGCTGCAGGCAGCGGATAGAATCATAGAATCATAGAATATCAGGGTTGGAAGGGACCCCAGAAGGTCATCTAGTCCAACCCTCTGCTCGAAGCAGGACCAATTCCCAGTTAAATCATCCCAGCCAGGGCTTTGTCAAGCCTGACCTTAAAAACCTCTAAGGAAGGAGATTCTACCACCTCCCTAGGTAACGCATTCCAGTGTTTCACCACCCTCTTAGTGAAAAAGTTTTTCCTAATATCCAATCTAAACCTCCCCCACTGCAACTTGAGACCATTACTCCTCGTTCTGTCATCTGCTACCATTGAGAACAGTCTAGAGCCATCCTCTTTGGAACCCCCTTTCAGGTAGTTGAAAGCAGCTATCAAATCCTCCCTCATTCTTCTCTTCTGCAGGCTAAACAATCCCAGCTTCCTCAGCCTCTCCTCATAAGTCATGTGTTCCAGACCCCTAATCATTATTGTTGCCCTTCGCTGGACTCTCTCCAATTTATCCACATCCTTCTTGAAGTGTGGGGCCCAAAACTGGACACAGTACTCCAGATGAGGCCTCACCAATGTCGAATAGAGGGGAACGATCACGTCCCTCGATCTGCTCGCTATGCCCCTACTTATACATCCCAAAATGCCATTGGCCTTCTTGGCAACAAGGGCACACTGCTGACTCATATCCAGCTTCTCGTCCACTGTCACCCCTAGGTCCTTTTCCGCAGAACTGCTGCCTAGACATTCGGTCCCTAGTCTGTAGCTGTGCATTGGGTTCTTCCGTCCTAAGTGCAGGACCCTGCACTTATCCTTATTGAACCTCATCAGATTTCTTTTGGCCCAATCCTCCAATTTGTCTAGGTCCTTCTGTATCCTATCCCTCCCCTCCAGCGTATCTACCACTCCTCCCAGTTTAGTATCATCCGCAAATTTGCTGAGAGTGCAATCCACACCATCCTCCAGATCATTTATGAAGATATTGAACAAAACCGGCCCCAGGACCGACCCTTGGGGCACTCCACTTGATACCGGCTGCCAACTAGACATGGAGCCATTGATCACTACCCATTGAGCCAGACAATCTAGCCAACTTTCTACCCACCTTATAGTGCATTCATCCAGCCCATACGTCCTTAACTTGCTGACAAGAATACTGTGGGAGACCGTGTCAAAAGCTTTGCTAAAGTCAAGAAACAATACATCCACTGCTTTCCCTTCATCCACAGAACCAGTAATCTCATCATAAAAGGCAATTAGATTAGTCAGGCATGACCTTCCCTTGGTGAATCCATGCTGGCTGTTCCTGATCACTTTCCTCTCATTCAAGTGCTTCAGGATTGATTCTTTGAGGACCTGCTCCATGATTTTTCCAGGGACTGAGGTGAGGCTGACTGGCCTGTAGTTCCCAGGATCCTCCTTCTTCCCTTTTTTAAAGATTGGCACTACATTAGCCTTTTTCCAGTCATCCGGGACTTCCCCCGTTCGCCACGAGTTTTCAAAGATAATGGCCAATGGCTCTGCAATCACAGCCGCCAATTCCTTCAGCACTCTCGGATGCAACTCGTACGGCCCCATGGACTTGTGCACGTCCAGCTTTTCTAAATAGTCCCTAACCACCTCTATCTCCACAGAGGGCTGGCCATCTCTTCCCCATTTTGTGATGCCCAGCGCAGCAGTCTGGGAGCTGACCTCGTTAGTGAAAACAGAAGCAAAAAAAGCATTGAGTACATTAGCTTTTTCCACATCCTCTGTCACTAGGTTGCCTCCCTCATTCAGTAAGGGGCCCACACTTTCCTTGGCTTTCTTCTTGTTGCTAACATACCTGAAGAAACCCTTCTTGTTACTCTTAACATCTCTGGCTAGCTGCAGCTCCAGGTGCGATTTGGCCCTCCTGATATCATTCCTACATGCCCGAGCAATATTTTTATACTCTTCCCTGGTCATATGTCCAACCTTCCACTTCTTGTAAGCTTCTTTTTTATGTTTAAGATCCGCTAGGATTTCACCATTAAGCCAAGCTGGTCGCCTGCCATATTTACTATTCTTTCGACTCATTGGGATGGTTTGTTCCTGTAACCTCAACAGGGATTCCTTGAAATACAGCCAGCTCTCCTGGACTCCTTTCCCCTTCAAGTTAGTCCCCCAGGGGATCCTGGCCATCCGTTCCCTGAGGGAGTCGAAGTCTGCTTTTCTGAAGTCCAGGGTCCGTATCCTGCTGCTTACCTTTCTTCCCTGCATCAGGATCCTGAACTCAACCTACTCATGGTCACTGCCTCCCAGATTCCCGTCCACTTTTGCTTCCCCCACTAATTCTACCCGGTTTGTGAGCAGCAGGTCAAGAAAAGTGCCCCCCCTAGTTGGCTCCTCTAGCACTTGCGCCAGGAAATTGTCCCCTACGCTTTCCAAAAACTTCCTGGATTGTCTATGCACCGCTGTATTGCTCTCCCAGCAGATATCAGGAAAATTAAAGTCACCCATGAGAATCAGGGCATGCGATCTAGTAGCTTCCGTGAGCTGCCGGAAGAAAGCCTCATCTACCTCATCCCCCTGGTCCGGTGGTCTATAGCAGACTCCCACCACTACATCACTCTTGTTGCACACACTTCTAAATTTAATCCAGAGACACTCAGGTTTTTCTGCAGTTTCGTACCGGAGCTCTGAGCAGTCATACTGCTCCCTTACATACAGTGCTAGGATAGTGGACCTAGCTCCAAGGATGAAGTCATGGATGAGGAGGTCGAGTTTCAGGATGATGTGGAGCACACGGCAGGGTCGTCTGGTGGGATGGCGAGTGAAGACCTCTTTTCCACTCCAGAGAGATATAGCCCATCTCTGGTGCACATGATGCAGGAGAGGAGAGCCCTGGTAAATGGTCTTTTTGATTTGATGCTGCTTGGTTATATGAAGTAGAGCTATGTTTTGATCTGCATATTGTAGAAATGGGTGAAGGGATAGAAATGTACAAGACTAGCTGTGTTTGAGTGTGCTCCACATTCCCCCGTGCAGTTAAGCAGTGTGGTGGAACAGGGTGTCGATGCACACCGAGATTTCACAGGAATCCTCCAGAGAGATCTCCAGGAAACTTTCCTGGAGGTACTCGCCAATCCTCTGCTGAAGGTTCCTTGGCTGAGCTGCTTTGTTCCTTCCCCTATTGTAGGAAACTTTCCTGCGCCACTCGGCAATCACTTGTGCAGGGACCAAAGCGGCACACAAACAAGCAGCATAGGGACCAGGTCTGAAGCCGCATGCATGCAGGAGATGTACCCTTGCATCCTTGCTTACCCTCAGGAGTGAGATATCAGCTTCAATGACCCCCGCCTGTGAAAAATGGTGGCAGAATTTACAATATTTTCCATAGTCGCCTTCACTGATCCCCTGAAAACAACACCTAAACCCTTGCCCCATCTTGAATGCCCGCTCCCCACCCAGGCCTAACTCACCATATTTAGGGTGTTCGCCGAGACTTGTGCTTGACAAAGTGATTGGTATGTTACAAGAGGTGTATTTTTTACTGTAATGATTGAATGCTGTGTGTGAACTGTTTCAGAGTAACAGCCGTGTTAGTCTGTATTCGCAAAAAGAAAAGGAGTACTTGTGGCACCTTAGAGACTAACCAATTTATGCTCAAATAAATTGGTTAGTCTCTAAGGTGCCACAAGTACTCCTTTTCTTTGTGTGTGAACTAACAATCATGCTTCTGTGTATTCTTTCTTGTGCTTCTGCATATGTGACCTTCAGGGGAACCCCATACATGCCAGCGGTGTGCCTTTGCCAGATAAGGATGTGACCAAGGCATGGCAAGGAGTTCTGAGAGGTGCTCCATGTTCTGAGAGGTGCTCCAATCCTCAGAGGCCAAAGAAAGAGAATGTAGGAAATGGAGAGAAAAGTAAAGGCAGGACAGAAAGCAGAATGAGAAGTGCATTCTAAAGGACCAGGAGCTGATGATAAAAGTGATGGAGGAGCAAACAGAGATGTTGAAGTTTCAAATCACGCTACAGTCAGAACAGACGCATGCTCGCCCCTCTCCCCTGCAGCCCGTACAGCACTGTTTTCCCCAAAGTCCTCCCACACATTCCTGGCAACTTCCTGGCACGTCTTGGTACCCCATTCCCTCCACCCCTTTGGACAGCTTCCTCAAAGCGAGACTGAAACAGAGAAAGGCTATTTTGTGCTGTGCCTCCGACGACCTGGTAGGGGCCATCTCAGCAATAGCTCTCAGCCCTTTAAAAGGAAACATCCCCCTGAAGCACTGTGAAGTGAGTCTACAAAAGACAATGGGGTTTATTAAAAAATGGAGTGATAAGTTGTCTCTCAAAAGGCAAAAGCTTTATTGGTCCTTTGTCAAGCTTTGCTCTCCCCCTACTGTCAGGACTTTTACATACCTGATAATGGAACATGCTTTAAAAAATGTATCTGGTTCTGTGTCATCAGCTAGAACAATTGAGAAGAGCCTCTAGCAGCACAGAAAATATCAGACCATAACCACTCTGAGAGGAAAGACAATCTACAAAGATCGGGTTTATCCAACTAGGAAAAGGCTAGCTGTTTCCACAAGGTCCTGCAAAGATACCTGGTAAGTGCCAAGCAACGGGAAGTGCAAAGGGCTAAAATAAGTCTCTTTCTCTGAACAAGAGCAAAATCAGCTTCCTGAAGCTGATGGGAGTTCATCGGACTGTGTCTCTCAGGAGGGATTGGAGGGGATAATTACCTGCTGGACGAAGAACACTGAAATGCTGTTAAATAAACTGAGTCAGCATAAAGAAATTTCCTCTTGGGATGATAAAGGAACCTCTGTATATTGGGGTGTGGTGATTGTGGGGGTTTAACATACAGTACTCAGTTTAGTCAGGTGATACTAATGCGCATTCTCTCGCTAACAAGAGACAGCTTAAAGGGTGGGATGTTTTTATTAAAACCATCGGTAGAGCTGAATATGCTTACCTCTGTCATGGGGCATGGTGCCATCAGAGTTTTCAGAATGTCTAAAAACAAGCCTAGAGCCAGCCAGAGGGCAGATAAGAATGGAGGCTGAAAGCGGCGTCTCCCCTTTTAGAACTGGGCTTCCCAAAAACCAGAGGCTATGAGAAGGCCTGACTGGTTGACTGTGTAAAACAAATACTTGAACAGAAACCAATGGGTGTGTTATTTGTTTTTAAAGGGTTTGGGGTACATCTTTAAACTCACAACAAGAAAGACAGGTCTGGATATGTTAAAACATGTCGGGGGCATGTCCAGTGCTTAACTGCTGCATCAGTTATGAATGTAAAAAAATTGCTTGAGCCCTGGCACCTCTTTCATTACAAATTAAACGATGGGCATGTCTGACCCCCTCCCTCTGCCGCCTTTTTACAAACTGCACCCCCATGTGGTCATTTTCTGGTAAATCATTGGTGTACAATTTGACAATCTGAACAATGGATAATCCCTTACTAAATTTCTTTAAAAAAATATGCAGTGATATCCACAGGTTACTGCAAGGTCTTGTAGCTGCCTCTGGTGAAACACAATGTTATCAGAATTACAATTTTAAAAAGTCATGATAGCTTCAGGATAGACATTACTGTCTGGGAGAAACCCGTAGGAATAGAAACACTTGCCTGGCCCAAGTTTGGTAGGTAGAGAGAGCATGTGTGTGTGTGTGTGTGTACACATGTAGGCATTTGTGTGTGAACAATCTTCTAGACACAGAACCCTTTGGGAGCAGGTCGCTAGGAAATCCATTTTAAATCGAAGCATCCATTGATAAAATACATGTGAACTGCACAGTGTTCATACTCACGTACAATCAAACAAGATATTCCTTCGGTGGTTAACTTTGAGCACATTGTCAACCCTACGCCTACTATGAGATTGACTGTAGAGGGCAGTGCCAGGGCAGAATGCATCTCTGCTCTCAGGTTGCAAGTTTTAATCAGAGAATAATGATGGGCTCATTCCGGGTCCGGGGTCAGGATGGGGGTGTACCATACGTAACCCGGGACAAATTCACCACAATAGATGAAGAGCACTCGGTCTTTTACATATTTCCCAGACCCCTGCATGAGCTGCATGCACTCCCTCACACAGTTCGCATTCTCAAAATCAGGGTGTAGAAGTTTAGCTGGCACCTGCTTGCTATTCCTATACAAGGCCACAAAATTAATGTTGTGATGTTTAACATTGAAAGAGGTTTTAATGTACTTACTGCCGAAGGCGTCATTATGTATAAAGCTGACGAGTTGTTTGGGTAACTGCCTCACAGAGAGACTTTCTTGGTTACTGATATGACTACCAGGCAGAATACTATAAATACCTTCATGCCTACCTTGGTCCACAGGGTACTTAGCATTAGTGGTCATTAGAATCTCTGAGTGGCACAAACAGACCGCCAGAGTAATTGTCACCCATTTCATTCATTAGAATTCTGATTGACATTCCACTCAGGAGGCAAAAAGTATCTTTGCTACATGTGAATTTAATTTTCAAGTCATAGAATCATAGAACCATAGGGTTAGAAGGGACGGCAAGGGTCATCTAGTCTAACCCCCTGCCAAGATGCAGGATTTGTTGTGTCTAAATCATCCAAGACAGAGGGCTCCAGCCTCCTTTTGGAAACCTCCAGTGGAGATGATTCCACAACTTGCCTAGGTAATCTGTTCCTTTGTCCTACTGTTCTTACAGTTAGGAAATTTATCCTGAAATGCTGTAGTTTGAACCCATTGTCTCTTGCTCTGCTTTCTGTGGCAAAAGAGAACAATTTTCACCATCTTTTTAATGGCAACCTTTCAAGTATTTGAAGACCGCTATCATGTCCCCCCTTAATCTCCTCTTTTCCATACTAAACATACCCAATTCTTTCAGCCTTTGCTCACGTGGCCTGAATTCCCTCCCTCTGATCATCTTTGTCACTCGCCTCTGGATCCTTTCCAGTTTCTCTACATCCTTTCTATACATTGGTGACCAAAAGTGGACACAGTATTCAAGCTGAGGCCTAACCAGCACTGAGCAGAGCAGTGCTATCACCTCCCGCTACTTGCACGCCGTGCCTCTGGTAATGCAACCCAAAATTGCAATTGCATTTTTTGCAACAGCATCCCCATTCAGCAGCAGTTTTTCTTGAAAAAAAACAAAGCACTGTGTGAAGGCCCCAGCAGCTTCTGCTTCCTGATGTGAGCAGTTAGGTCAGCCCTGTGCATAAAGCCCTTGTGACCCACACCAGCCAAAATGGTGCTCTCGTGGGCGTGCGCTGTGTCTTTCTGAAATGCCCTGTGGGAAACTTCCTAGCGAGGGTATCGTGGCTGTGGGTCAGAATCAATTTAAAAAGGGCTCAATTTAAGCAGGGTCTGAATGAGTTCTCTCCTGACAGCTGGGTGGGACGGGAAGAGACTTCAGGAGGAAACTGTATTTACCTAAACACAGCTACTCTGCGTAGGTGTCCCCCAGACAGGAGCAGTGTTACTCAAAGTGATCAGCTTTGGTTGGTGTTGGGGTAGTACTGAATTCAGGGGTAGTGAAATGTTGTTAACCATGTTGTTATCTTTATTGCCTAAGTAAAGGGGAGCAGTCTGTCCTGATTGAGGGGGTCACCCTCAGTTGAAAGGAACTTGCTAAGGCAGGGGCTCAAATGCCAGAGCCCTATGAAAGTAAGAGGGGTGGGCATGGTGTCCCAGCCAGGAAATGAACTCTCCCTAAGGGTCCCTCATCTGGTTTAACCTGCCTCTCCCCACTGTTTAAAAAAAAGAGCTAAATAGGCTCCCTTAGAAGCCTTTTGTTATATTAAATGCTCAATAAGAGCTGAAAGTACTTGCGGCGGAACAGTGTTTCTGTCCAGCTGAAAATCGCTAAGAGACTGACCTGCAGAGGTCACTGTAGAGAGGCGGGTGGCCAGTGGGAGCGGCGAAGGACAGCAGCTGGCAGGTCAGCCAGTCAGAGCAAGTGTTCATATGGCGGAGCAAACCAGGTGCCCTCTTGCCTGGGTGGGAAGTGAGCTCACACAGATGCACTTCTGAACCTTGGGTCCTCACTGACTAAGGACAACCACTGTGAGTGGGGCATGGTGAGGAAGCAGACGGGGGGCACAGTAAAGGAACTGTTGGTTGTAGAACTCAAGGACATGAGGCGGAAGACTCTGTCCCACGCACTCGGGTGGGGCGGGGGGGATGTTCTGCTAACAGTTTTATGGTTATGAATCCTGCTTGTGGCATTTTCCCTAACTAATGTTGGGTGACTTCCCTCCTTTCATTAAAAGTTTCTTTTCTACACTCAGACTCTGTGTTTGTGAGTGGGGAAGTATTGCCTCTCAGAGGAGCCCAGGGGCGGTATGTAATTTTCCCAGGTTACTGGATGGGGGCTCGAGCCGGTTTGGTGTTATATTGTTGAAAAGGAACCCATAGATATTTAACCCAGCCCTGGTTGCCACCGGCTCCACCTGGCAGAAGGATTACGTCTGTAAGGGTAATAACTGTTGCTCTGGCTAATAATTTGCTCATCTAAAGTAACATCCAGCTGGTTAAAAAGGGTGGCAATGGGGTAATTTGTTACGATGCCCTTGGTATCATCGGAGATGTCTGCACCATCTTCTTTCATAACCTTGCAGCACACATACAGCAATGTGTCGTTAAAGTCTAAGCCCTGGTCTACACGAGGAGTTGAGGTGGAATTTAGCAGCATTAAATCGATTTAACCCTGCACCCGTCCACAAGACGAATCCCTTTTTTTTGACTTAAAGGGCTCTTAAAATTGATTTCTTTACTCCACCCCCAACAAGGGGATTAGCACTGAAATCAGTCTTGCCGGGTCGAATTTGGGGTACTGTGGACACAATTAGATGGTAATGGCCTACGGGAGCTATCCGAGAGTGCTCCATTTGTGACCACTCTGGACAGCGCTCTCAACTCAGATGCACTGGCCAGGTAGACAGGAAAAGGCCCTCAAACTTTTGAATTTCATTTCCTGTTTGGCCAGCGTGGCAAGTTGCAGGTGAGTGCAGAGCTCATCAGCAGAGGTGACCATGGTGGAGTCCCAGAATCGCAAAAGAGCTCCAGCATGGACCGAACAGGAGGTACGGGATCTGATCTCTGTATGGGGAGAGGAATCCGTGCTATCAGAACTCCATTCCAGTTTTCCAAATGCCAAAACACTCGTCAAACTCTCCCAGGGCATGAAGGACAGAGGCCATAACAGGGACCTAAAGCAGTGCTGCGAGAAACTTAAGGAGCTGAGGCAAGCATACCAGAAAACCAGAGATCCCCAAACATGCCACTTCTATGATGAGCTGCATGCCATTTTGTTAGGATAAAGATATTCAGGCCTGTCTGGAAAGGCCTGTACTTTAAGAATTTAGGTGTATTCTTATCACTTGGCTAGTTCTAGAGGTATAAAAGAAAGAATCAAAATCACTGTCTGCTGGTGTAAGGGCCTTCTCTTACTGTGACAGTCTGAGGCCCTGTTCTTAGGCTAAGGCCTTTGGCTAAGCAGCAGAGGCAGCCATAAGCTGGGAAGCAAACAGTCACATCCTCACATTCCAAACTAGTCATATTGAAATAAGGTGCTATTGGGCTGTTAGGCACTATCAGGACAGGATTGTATTCCTATCACCTCCAGAGAAAGGGAAGTGCCTAGAAAATGTAAAAGGAAACTTAGTTTGTTAGCATCCTGTCTGGCAAGAACTCACTTATCAATAGCTGGGATGTGAAATCCTCACTTCTGTATTGTCTTGTCATTATAGTTCCCACTTTGCTATTGTTTGTCTGTATAATCTCTGTCTGGTTCTGTGATTGTTCCTGTCTGCTGAATAATTAATTTTGCTGGGTGTAAACTAATTAAGGTGGTGGGATATAATTGGTTACATAATCATGTTACAATATGTTAGGATTGGTTAGTTAAATTTCAGGAAAATGATTGGTTAAGGTATAGCTAAGCAGAACTCAAGTTTTACTATATAATCTGTAGTCAATGAGGAAGGGGTTGGG